GCAGAAGTTAGGAAGGAAGGAAGAAAAAGAAAGAAAGAAAGAAAGAAAGAAAGAAAGAAAGAAAGAAAGAAAGAAAGAAAGAAAGAAAGAAAGGGCTGAAATCCTGTGCTTCATGTGACATCAGTACGTCATCATCCCTGACCCATGTAGCTGTTGGCCATGAAGAGGAAAATAAACAAAAGGATATTGCTTGCCACAAAGATATGGCCTTTTAGCTGTATAGGCTAATAACAATTGGTTGTCCCACCTGCTATGAAACGTCCTTCCTGCTTTTCCTGACCTTTACAGGTGATGAACATCCAAAGATGAAAAATTCTAGCCTAATCCAAGGGTGAAAAAAGTGCCCTGGGGAAAGCATGTGCTATTATCCCTTGTGCAGCCTCTTGAGATGTCACATAATGGGGTGGGGTCAAAATGTGGATTACTTTTTGCAGTTTGAATGAATTACAGGCTTTTTCCACTTACATAACAACTTTCAAAAGCTCCCCATTATTGTAAATAACAGTTGTGACTATTTCCAAAAGTGTGGAGACCTTACCAGGTAATCAATGTGGCATATGTGAAGCATGACCACTCCTCTTTTTGGCACAACCCATAGCAGGCACCAATGGCTATATGAGGGCCTTCAGTGCATGTAATGATTAACTAATAATGTATTACGATTTCAGGGTAGATATTTGGATGAGAATTAAAGGAGAATGGAATAAATGCCTAAGGAAGGTTTCAGTGCTCCAGAATAAGCTGGTTGAGTGATCGATTATGGTAGAGGAGTAGGGGACAGCTGAAATTATTTCTAAAGCAAATGTACGCCAGCCTTTAGATTTTTAAAGAATTCTGTGGTTGGCTATCAAACATATACTACAGCCAGTGCTGCCTTCCCAGAAGACCACATAAGCTGTTTCCTCATCAATCTGGAAAACCACCCATGATGAGCCAATCCTGCTTACACTGAATATCCTGTTTCTTTTTGCAGATCTTCACTGGGATTTTTACAACTGAGATGGTGTTTAAGCTTATAGCATTGGATCCATATTACTATTTTCAGCAAGGCTGGAATATTTTTGACAGTATAATTGTCACGCTAAGTTTGATGGAACTAAGTCTTTCCAGCATGGGAAATGTGTCCGTGTTACGCTCCTTTAGACTGGTAAAATATTTTATCTCTCTCTTTTTCTCTGAGACATAAAATGTGAAGCCTTTGCAACAATTTTAGCAGGATTAAAAAATAAATAAAACTGCATACAGTATAGTAGTTAAGTGTTGTTCTAGGACTAGAGAGAACCAGATTCTAATCCACCCCCAGCCAAAGAAACTCACTACATGAATTTGGGCCTGTCACTCTCTCAGCCCACTCTATTCCACAAGGCTAGTCTCTTTGGGATGAAAGAAAGAGAACCTGCTTCATGTATGCTATCTGGAACTCCCAAAGGAAAGGCAGAAAGAAAAAAGACAATATGACTGCTCATCCAGATTCTCCTGTGGAAGGTGTCTAATGAATCTTACAGAGCAACAGGAATGGAGTTTTTTTAATCCCCACAAGTCACCTCAGATCCTTTCAAAAATTTCCCTCTTCTTAAACCATATAACAGAAAGTGGCAATAAATACATTTACTTTTTTCCAACTAAAGAAATAATGCATTTGAGATTAACAGTCCACTAGCTTGGGCTAAGATGAAACCACTTATTTTGGTATTGGTTGTCATGCCTTGCTGTTTTAAGGTATTGGGGGGGGGGGCTTGTCATAAGCAGATTCATAACCTTTTGATCCTAGTCTTCTTGGCATTACTGTATCTCCTTTCCTCTGTGTGGCAACTTTGAGTCCTTGCCCATGTTTACCATTTCATCCAATTTCCTGGGGTGAGCCATGTGACTGTACTGATGTAATTATGATAATGTGGCAGCTCCTAAATGCTATGGACACAACTAGTTAGCAGCATGTGGGCAAATGAGGACAAATGAAGCCAAGATTACTAAGGACAGAGAAGGCAAACTACTGAGCCAGCTTCCCCAGCCTGGTCCCCCAGAGAGCCTTAAAACTGTAACTCATCTCAAGGGTACCAAGTTGATATAGGCAGTTTGACATATGATAATTATGGCTGGACACAGCCATAATTTTCAAAGCAATCTGCATAGCAAAGAATACTAATTTAATTTATTTAAAATAGTTTTATACCAATTCTCATGTTTATAATCTCAAAGCAGTGTAAGCAGTATACAGAGAGCAATACTAATATTCCAGAGGGCAGATGCCATGATAGAGAAGGATGACCTGCAAACAACAGCAAGATATCACTCTTTCAGTCCTACACACATAGTACCACCTCATCTGATGATTTTGGTCATTACCCAACTCTGTAAGAGAAGACAGTGATCAATCAGGTATCCTAGTCCCAAGCTTTATCATTCTTTATGTGGGTAGTCCTTGGCTTATGATGGCAATTGGGACTGGAATTGCTGTCTCTAAGAGACACAGTCATAAAGTGCAACGTTGTGTGACCGTGTTGCTTAGCGATGGCAATTCCACCAGTCCTGGTTGCTGTCGTTAAGCAAGGACTGTGCAAGTTGTTAAGCAAGGACCTCACATGACTGCAACTTCCTGCTGGCTTCCCCATTGACTTTGCTTGTGGGAAACCAGCAGGGAAAGTTGGAAATAACAATTACATGACTGCAGCTCATTGAGACGTTGTAATTGCGAGCTGGGTGCCAAGCAAGTGGATTGCAATCACGTGACTGTGGGGACACTGTGATGGCCAGAACTACAAGGACCCATGGTAAGTACCATTTGTTCAGCACCATCATAACTTTGAATGGTCGTTGAATGAATGGTCATAACCTGAGGACTACCTATATGCCAAAAATGCAACCTTTGAACCTTGCTTCATTCATGTCTGCTTCAGCACAGTTCAGTGTAGTTGCTTCAGCCCAGAGTTACATGGCCATCTGTTTGCTGCTTTCTGCATCAGCTACAGTATCCGGACAAAATATAAAGATAGCCCCACATAGAGTGCATTAGAATAATCTTTTCCTGTGTGAATGATTAAGGCTAGGCTATCCCAGTCAAGCAAAGGATTTAGTTCATGCCCACATTAGCACTCGTGGGTATAAGTAAGCAAGCTGTAGTCCATAGCTTGCATGGAGCTCTCAGTTCCATCTTTGCAGCCCCCACAGACTTCCAAGATTGCAATGCTTATTTTTAGGGGAGTAGGCAGAGTTAGAATGCTTGCTTTTTTAAAACATTACAAGCCCCAAAATAGGTGTGATATGGAAGCAGTAAGTAAAGTAAAGTAAAGTCTCCCTAAAATTTTGCTCAACTTCTGGTGACTTCATGTACACATCTCTGCAGCTTTCTTGGCAACAGTATAGTAGTGGTTTGCCATTGCCTCCTTGAGGGTGTTTCATTCAACTTTCCACTCTAATTTAAAGACCTAGGGTTTTGTTGCAGTCTCTCTTTCAAGTAGTAACCAGGTCTGACCCTACTTAGCTTTTTTGAGATCACCCAAGATCATCTAGATGTTACCATCTAATGTTAGTACCCCTATTTTGAACCTCCCTCCAAATGAGCCAAATGTCTGCTCCCTCTTCCCATTTCTGGTTGTAACTTCATTGCCGTATCCCCTACAGACCTTACAAACACCTTGCTCCCCCATCCCCCACAATTGCCTGTCTTTGACTAAAGTTTCTGGAGACAGGATATGACTCCCCTCTCAATGAAGATAAGAGGGTGCATTCAAAACACCACTAATTGAGACAAGTGTGTGAGTGGTGCCTGCCATATCCAAATTCAGGCTGCTGTTTTCTTCTTTTGCAGATACTAAGGGTTATACATCAACTAAAATAGAAGGTGAAGGATAGAGCAACAGAGCTCTTACAATATGTTTTTAATCCAGACTGGCTCTTCCTCTTGTGTTTTTATTCCATCCCTCCCTCCCTCCATGCATGTATCCATGTTTTTATTAATATTCAGTGCTTCTTGCCTCTTCTGAAAGACTCAGTTGTGTTTTTGTGATTTCCCTTACAGCTGAGGGTCTTCAAGCTTGCAAAATCTTGGCCAACATTAAATACGCTTATTAAAATAATTGGAAACTCAGTGGGAGCCTTGGGAAATCTTACCCTTGTTTTAGCCATCATCGTCTTCATTTTTGCCGTAGTCGGGATGCAGCTCTTTGGGGAATTCTATTACAAGAATGTCACCAAAATCAGCAGCACTGGACAATTACCACGCTGGCACATGAAGGACTTCTTCCATTCCTTCCTCATCATCTTCCGCATTCTTTGTGGGGAATGGATTGAAACCATGTGGGACTGCATGAAAGTTGTTGGTCAGCCACTGTGTCTTCTGGTGTTTTTGCTGGTCATGGTGATTGGAAATCTGGTGGTAAGTACTGAAAAATATTTTGGGGGTGGGTGGGGTTCCTTCCATATCTTCACTACAGCTTCTAGTTTTCATGGGCTACAAGAATTACTATGAGAACTTCATGGCTAAAGGATGGGACATTGTTTCTTCAGCAATCAGGTTCTACGCATTGCATTACTGCTTTTGCAGTACAGTCATCAGTCAGTATGAAGATTTGTAGGTATTGCAGACATAAAAACTTTCCCGAATGATAATGGATAAGAAAAAATAGAACAAATATATCCTTGATGGTTGCCAGCTCTGAGCAAAGCCAGGCTGTGACTGTCCAGATTCTCCATCACAATCCTTCTCCTGCCCCAGGAAACTTAGTTCTGGTAGGAAAAGAGAGGATGGAGATTATGGTAACAGGTGAACTGAGATAGAGAAAACATCTTCAGTATGCAACATATGATCTTGGGGAATATCTTTTGACAGCCATCTCATCCTGGATTCAGATAGTACAGATGTGTCCATTGTCTTGTCTTATAGTTGATGATACAGCTGTGTGTTGCACTCCTGGTTTTTTTTCCAGGAATCATGATTTGGATTTGGGCTTTTTAAACATGGCACAATGTCTTAAGTATATTTTACCTCTGTGTGTTCTGAGGTTATTGACCTGCCAGTATGCTAAATCTAAAATGGGAGCAGTTACTGTAAGATAGATTATGAGTCCTGTTCCAACAGTCACATTGCTATTTGGGAGGCACAGTGCCTCATTTGATTGCTGCATATCTGTATGTCTGCATGAGCTGGCAGTTTTACTCATAGTGTTTCTGGAGGGCACCAAGTTGTGGAAAATGACATCAACTTTGCCTGTGCAATTGGAGCCATCTCTGATATGTTGGGAGCTAGAGTTTTCTAGAACCAGAACAGCAATTGTTTCAACAACCATCACCTAGCTTGAAATCCAAGAAATGCAAAGCAAGATTCTATTAAGTCATGAGAAAGGTGGGAAAAAGAAGCACTGGAGTTAAACTTGTGTGGGTACAAAACTGTATCCTCACGTTGACAGAGCACAATGAATAGTTTAAGTAGCTTCATTTAGTATGCGGTGACGATTGTTATTTAGCCATGCCTTGTCTAGTGTCTTGGTAGCTTCTGCCAAGTTTAAGCCATGGGAGCTTACTGCCATCCATGTTGTGAACATGCAGAATTTGAACATGCATTACAGCTCTGTGGGATGGCATCTAAGGAAAGTAGGGTCAATGGGATTGAGTATATGGCTGTCAGCATGTGTGAAGGACAACTCACACTAATCATTGTACCTTTAAAATATTGGTCTGTCGAGATTTGTGAATTAGCTCTGTGTTCTGGAAACCTATCCTCCTATCTAACAAGCCTTCAAAGAGTACATTCAGTATAGAATAACTTATCTGAGCTTGAATTTAAGATAACATGCAATCATCTGGGTGTTAACATTTGTGGCTTGCAAAGCATCTTGGCAGTTCTGAAACCCTTGGTGTAAATGTGTGCTTCCTGCTGTCCATTCTGGCTCATCACAGCATTGCAGTATGGCTGCCAGTGTTCAGTCAGATGGTGTTCATCATTCCTCTAGGAGAGTATCTTGACCGCAGTATCCAAATTAGGGACTGTGTAGCTCTTTTTAGCATAGTCATGATGCACCACTATAATCACAATGCTTTTTGAGTGCCATTGACAAATGCCATTGAGGTTCTGATGGAAATGGAGAAGGAATAGAATGAGACTTAGACATTCACAGGGAAAGGGGATCAGATGTATCCATATCTTTTAAGGATGTTGGCAGTTCAGTTTTGCAAAATGGCTTAGCTGGTATCAGATGGAAATGGGCATCATGGAGAAAACTGCAGTTTGGCAAATTATGAAGAACAAAGAAGTGCCTCAGCAGCACTACTAGCCTTCTTGAGTGATTGCCAACAAAATGTAGCTATATCCCTGTATTGTGTCATGTGAGCTGACACTATGGAGTCATGAGGTGCCACCTGTCTGATCTGTGAAGTGATTTTGTAAATGGATAATATGCTTGCTTGACTGGATGTGAGATAAAGAGATAGCTTTAGGAATGGTGACCTCTAAGCCATTGGGCTAAAGTTTCAACCCTGAGATCCAGTACATATGAGCCCATGGCTTATTTTATTTCTAGACAAAGGTGGCAGATGAATGGGATCATGTGATTTATTTATCATGCCTGAGAATCTGGAATTTCCTGTGTCACCATTTCGTAAGTATTGAAATCCTTCTGAGCATTACCAGAAGGTCAGAAATGCTAGAGGTATCCCAATGGAGAAAGCCAAAGATGCTCCTTCTAGAAAAAAAATCCCACCAGAATAATAGCCAACCCACTGGGTTAGCTGCTGTAACTTGAAAGTAAAAATGCAACACAAAAATTGGTTGATTCATCAGTGTGTTGTCTTTTGTTGTTGTTAGATTTATATCCTGCCTTTCCTCCAAGTGTTCCTCCAATTTTTCCTCACAATAGTTCTTTGGGTCAGTTGGGCTGAGAGTTAGTGACTGACCAGAATCATCCAATGAGTATCCCTAATTGAGGACATGAACCTGGCTCTCCTTAGTCTTAGCCTTCCACTGCCCTAGAAGGTGATTTTTAGAAGCTTTCTACAGTTTCAGTAGTACCTGTGTTGATAATCAGAGGCTGGTATTGGTGCTGCATGCTCAGCAAGATCAGATGACCTGATGAATCAGGAGGATTCCATCTTATCTGAAACTACAGATTTCAGCATGGTTCTTCAACAGTTTTTCATTTGGATAGACATGTGTCTGTTTCCAGATACATGCTTCACCACCAGCCTACTTCCCAACTGATCTTCAGAGAAACTGCCGTCACCCAAAATATGGAACAAACATTTCCAGAGTTCTAGGAGGAGCAGCACTGCAGCATAATACCTTTAGATGGTGACAGTAGCGAGTAAGAGACCAAAGACTGGCACAAGACATAGAGGGACTACATAGAGTGACTGAATAACCAAGGTCATTTGTATTCACCAGACATTTTAAACATCAGAGATAGGCTAAAAGAGGCAGAGTGACTATCTGTGGGGAATGCGAATCTATAGGTACCATATTTACTCAACAGTAAAATGCCCTTGAATATAAGGAAGGAATAATATAATATATATGTAATAATACAAACACATACATACACACACATAAAAACAACAATTTCACACAATACCCAGCTTTTCTATTATGTCACCCTCAGTTGCCACCACCAGTTGAAACCAGCATAGGAGATTCTTCCTCACAGCTTTAATGTGTGCACGATGATATATTTGTATATGTGGGTGCATATACACATGTATTCATATATACCAGCCAGGAGGCAAATTCAAACAAACCTGAAGTGGGTGGGATGGGGAGACAAAATCAGGATGAAAATAAGTATATTTATATTATTGACAGTTAAATTTAATGGGGTACACTATTTACAATATTATTTGATCCCTGTCTGCATATACCAATCATTATCTCTTTCACACACAAGCCACATTCATAGGTAATCCATGATTGGGATTGGATACTCCTAACACTAATTGGGAGTGGATACTCTGTTGTTAAACTACATGGTCGTTAGTTGAAAAACCATATGACTGCGCTGCATAGCAACAGCAGTTCCAGCAGTCCCGGTTGCCATTGTTAAGCTAGGACTGTGTGGGTCATTAATTAAGGATTGTATGGGTCACTAAGTGACTGCGACTTCTGACTTCCTTTGGCTTCCCCATTGACTTTGCTTGTGGGAAGCTGGCATGGAAGGTCACAAATCGTGATCATGTGACCGTGGGGACACTGTGAAGGCTGTAACTACAAGATCCAATTGTAACTGTCACTTGTTCAGCACTGTCATAAATTTGAACTGTTGCTGAATGAGTGGTCATTAAAAAAGGACCACCTGTACATAGAAATGTACACAAGTTTACCTCTGCTCTGTGGAAATGGGTTAAGGGTATCTGGAAAGGAAAGAAAATGGAGAAAAGCCTTACCTAGATAGCATATAAAGGGTTAAATCCACCAGGCAAGCAGCAGCTAATCTTCAGAGACATCTACACTTTGCAATGGAGCTTTCAATACCTTCTAGTCTTATCAGTGAAAATGATACCCTCTTCCTTATGATAACTGCTTTTTGTCTTAAACTTTGAGAGAAACCTCTGTTTACAATTGTCCATTGGTAATAGGATCAGTAGATTCCAGCATAAAAGGGAAGGTGTGAGTGCCTTTAGATTCTCCTTATGAATTTTCCAGAAGCATCTGTTTGGCCACTGAAGGACAAAAAGCAGACTTTAATCAGATATGACATAGCTTTTCTGCTGTTCTTAACCAACCTTGGACAGATAGCATTTTCAACTTCATTGAGATTCTTTTTGTGCAGTGTTTTGAACTAATATGAGTATTTTTAAAATACAACACAAGGAATCATTACTATATTTACATCAAATATTCACATTGTATTCTCTGTTACATTTTACTGGTGAAGATACATCAATTTTAACACAAAACAGATGAAGCATACAAATGTGCTAAAGGAAAGAACGTATTAGGGGAAATGTACATGATTCTGTACTGGATAAAGCATTACAAATGGTCTCCCAGTTAGATCAAAATGCAGGAACCCAAGACCACATTAATCTGTGTACAGTAATCGTAAAAAGGTCCCAGTAGATGAAACTCCTTCATTCCTGTGATGTACCTTGGATTTATCCAGAATTACTTGTAGCTCTTGTAGGAATATATATCCAAGGCAAGAGAATTGTTTGTATCATCATTTTTGAAAGAATGATAATATGCACATATTTGAAAATAAACCATCATTCATCATATCATATATAAATTAAAAAAGTTACACATCAATGTCAGTGATAAAATAAAGCAAAAATACTGATGAATTGTATGTATGTATGTGTTTGGGGGGTGAGGCAAACAGAGAGTTCATGCATCTGTGGATGATAACAGGTTTCTGCATAACTGAAAAGGTTGCAACTGAGTTTTGTTAA